AAAGCGAAACTACTTTGTTTGGTCTTCCAAAAGAGGACACGACTACAAATCAGTGGTTAAGTTGTATTTACAACACTGTTCCAGAACAGTTTAACCCAAATATCCAGATGTGTGCAGCACATTTTATGGAGGACCGTTGCTGGCCAATCACAGCACACCTTGCTTTTTCAGACCGATGAGCTTTGTAAAAATCGACGCGTTTCAAAAAGGCGGGGCATAGAGGAGAAACAATAATGTACAGTATGTGGAAAATAATGTGTTTTTTTTACTTTAAACCGCATAAACACATTTCATTACACCAAATACACAAAATACTGTTCTTTTTAGCAGCATCATATGACCCCTTTAAACATTTTTAGAAGCACGCTAAAACGGCATGGTTACTTCAGCAAATGCATGTTTAAGTCATGCTTGTGTCACGGTGCGGGTGGAGAGATAAGGAAAGGACTCAAATGCAGAAAGTATGGGCTCTTTATTAATAAAACAAAACAACAACAAAAACTACCCCGAAGGGGGAAAACAGGTAGGACAGGACAGGACAGCACAGCACAGGAGCACAGGTACATCCAACACACGTACATACGAATAGTAACGAACTAGCACAAGACAGCAAACACTGGGAGACTAAGTAGGGCAGGTAATGAGGGAAACAACAGGTGGAACCACTGAAACAATAATGAGGTAACAAGATGGGCGGGGTCGGACAATAGACAGGAGAGCACATGGCACAAACAAACACACAACAAGTCATGTGCTCACACAAAAGACACATTGTCCTCTGGTGGCCATCTAGTGCACACCAGCTGAAGACTGTGACAGCTTGGTTTTATTAACACTATCGGTAAGGTTTAGGGTAGGGATTACTGTAGGTGATACATTAACCTTTACGCGCCACTCACTGGACATTTCATGTCTGAACTGCCACGATAAACATAATAAAAAGTTGCCAGATACACGTTAATCTGTTTCAGATTCCGAAAAAATAAAAAAATAAAAACTCAGTTTATCCAGAATCATGCAGTTCTATTTTGCACACAAACAGGCCTTAAAGAGTTTTTATGTAGCCTGTTGATTTTTGTTCATGGTATTCAGCTCCAATAAATGGTTTGCAAAAAAGAGACACAGGATAAATGTTTGATATCATTATTTAATCACATTGGAATCGAAACTGGGAATCGCAAAGAATCGGAATCGATAAGCAGAATCGGAATCGATAAAATTCAAACGATACCCAACGCTACTCACTCCTCATTGACTTTCATTGTATTGATGGATGGCCAAGATAAATCTCCTTTTGTGTTCCACAGAAGAAATAAAGTCATACAGGTTTGGGGTGGCATTATGGGTAAATAAATGTTTTGTTTTGTTTTCTCAGTCGTCTCTCACCTCCGGGGCGATGTAATCTGGCGTTCCACAGAAGGTGCGTGTTGCCATGCCCTCAAACATGTTTTCCTTACACATGCCGAAGTCTGCAATCTTGATGTGGCCCTCGGAGTCCAACATCACGTTATCCAACTTCAAATCTCTGAGGACAAAATACACAAACCAGGTGTATGAAATGCACCTCAGATAACTGATGTTCATGGTAAACGCTCTGCATCTGCCTTCCCTCATTACAAACAGTTCACAGTTAATAGTGTGGTCTTTAGCTGAGCATGCGAGTGGGCAGTATAAGCGAGGTCAGGTCAGCCATGCTCAGCCTTCATCATCAAAGAGCATGATTAATGCGAGCTGAACGCTGCAACCCAGCAGGGATGGGAACGGCGAGTGAGGAGCTGAATGCAGACAGCGCTGCATATAAACAGTCTTTCTTACAGCCAGCTTTTCCTCAAAGAGTCTCATTCTCTGGACAGGAATATGTATACTGCATTTCATGGGTTTTTCGGACCTGCTAAACCCTGAGTTATGTTGTTTACTTCAAATAATATGTGTTTTCAACTACACTGCTGCACACATCTGATGTCTATCATTTTCATCTAGAATACGAATATGTTAGCTAATGCAAACAACAGCTGACAGTTTAAAACAGCTAAAGCTCCATACACAATATTTTACTGAAGAATTCATGTAAGAGCTAATGTTATTTAATAACATTTACATGCATTTTCAATGACAACTGAGTTTTTCTGTTTTCACACAAATGTATTTTCCACACTTCTTGAAGTCATTAATTTTTCAATGGTATTTAATTAGCATTTCTCTAGACTGGATGTTAGCTATTGCAACTAACTGGGAGCCTACACTTCGCAGAGTAAGGCTCAGGATTATTTCTGAGGGATATTAATGATGCAGCTGAAGGTATACTCTGTGTTTAAGAAAACTAAAGCTCTACGTACAGCATCGGTGACATGCTGTTTGACAGAAGTTGACAGAAAATCCTCATCTTGTGCCTAAATTTATAAAAACACACACACAAAAAACTGTGTTTTTAATGCATATCCACTACTTCTGAAAATCTCCTATTATGATGAAGCTAGTAAACCCAGCAATGTTCGTTCAATATACACACAGATGTCAGAAAGGGAAGTGGCAAGCGCTGTTTACGTGCAGGAATTGTAATGCATAACCAGTTAATAGAACAAAACAAAAATATAAGCAAATATATAAAAAACATATTTCTGCTTTTAACCCTCCAAACGGCTTTGCCTATAGACTTCCATCATAGCTATTACAGTACATTACATCATTATGGTTCATTATATTGCTTATTGCAAGCATTATCGAAGAGAATATTTGCTTTGATTGCAAGTCATCAATATTTATAGTCCATTTTCCAAATTTTAGGAGTACACCGACAGACATGGACTAAAGCTGTGTGTCCACCAAACTGTTTTTAGCCGGCTGAAAATGCCAGGTTTTCTGCTAAAAACGTTTAGCCGTAAGCACTTAAAAACAGTTCTGTGGCGCAGCTGAGTTTTTTTTTTTCCAGTTTTGGCTGCTATGATACGGAATATCCGCGGAAGTGTGACTAGTATCTGATTTCGCAAGTTTATTTCTGAATATAAAAATGTTGACACAATATAAAGTACTTGCTTCTGGCCCTTGTTTTAAATTATTTTGTTCCGTTGTTGTGCTTCCCCTGATAACACACGTACATTTCGGAGACGTCTATTTGACGTCTGCATTTACATCTGCAAGACATATTTTTTAGAGAGTTTGCTCATCTGCAATACGTCTATAGGACGTTTCCTTTTAGATAGATCAAATAGACGTCTATTAGATGTCTTTAAGATGTTTATGATTTAGAATGTATGTAAAACTGACATCTGAAAGACGTCTGTCAGACGTTTGTAGACAGCAGATGCTTTCCAGATCAAGAGACCTTTAACAGACATCTTGCAGACGTACGTGTGCTATCTGGGTCTTGTTGTCATCTGTTGCTGCTGTTCAAGCAGGATGTGGCGGTTGGTCGGTGTGGAATTTGTCCTACCCCTCCTCTACTGTGATTGGACGGTTGACTAAAAAGTGACAGGGATGAGCGCTGCACTTTACCCAAAGTTGAATATTCTTCAACAAACGCCAGAGAGCTCAACGTGAAAAAGACGCTCAGCGCCGCGTCACGCTGCTGGCGTGAAAAAAAAATGCAAGCCTCGGGAAAAAAAACGCTTTGGTGGACACACGGTCTAAAAGTTACAAAAAACTCCAACTGTGATTTCATGGTGTATTTAGATCCTCAGTAAAAGCTATACAGTAGGCTACGTGTTTGTTCTGAATTTACTGCAATTATATGGCAAATAAACTGAGGGTCTTTCTCTGAACTGCTGTAACAGTAATAACGAAAATGAAATTTTAACAAGTTTGTCTTGACACCATCTCAGCTGTTATTGGCTCCGTTCTCAGCTAATCTAATTTGATCATGTGGAGAGTCACATCTGCTCCAGTTAAGTGTATTTTCCACTGATGGTGACACGTTGACAGCATGTGACTGCATCTATAAGATCTACTGTGCTCCTCAATTCTGTGTAGAGCAATACTTAAGGACTGAAGTAAAGATACTGTAATCCACTCACCTGTAAATAATTCCCTTCCTATGAAGAAAGAAGAGTCCGACAGCAATCTCTGCTGCATAGAATCTGTCAACACACCACAGTGTAGATTAGTCGGCATCACACATTCAATTTTTTTTTGCATTTCTCAGATTGGTATCCCAGCCCTTACAAGAAGCAAAGGAAATAAATGTGCCTTTGTTCAAGCGTTGATTGTTTCAGCAGAAATTTTCTAGCCTCTGCTGACAAGGTGAAAAAAATGGTGTGGTGTGACATACTCTGCTCACACAGACATGTACAGTATTAGAATAACAACATGAACAATTCTATTTCAGGAGCAGCTCTTCATGAACACAGGCCCTCATATGTTTCCTTGTTTGCAGTTTTATTCATGAGTGAAGACTGGGTGTTGATGGAGCAACTGTTCAGAGCTTTTTGTCTGTGCCATTTTTATACTGTATGTGTTTTTGCATTGTTTAAGCACATTTCTGCACAAATTCTCATTAGCGTACAGTAATTCAAAAACATCTCATTCTTATTACTGTAATGTAAAAAAATGTAATTTAAAATGATAAATATTTAAGCTATTTATTAAACATGGTAGTATTTGAACTGCTTTTAATTTTATTCAGACTCAAAGAATTTATGAAAAATCTTCATAAAGGATTACAGTACATTTGGCAGCATTTTAAGATGGAATGTGTTGGTTTTGGAGAGAAATTTTAACTGGATGTGTGTGTGTGCGTGTTTTGTTAAAGTAGAAAGGTCAAATAATGTGTGCGACAAAAGATAAATGAGATAAATAGTGCAGCTGCAGAAAAAAAAAAACAAGCAGGCCCCTGTATTCAGCACTGAATCAATCCATGTACTCACCTCAGATCAGACAGGATGCCATTGACATATTGATATACTGTATGACAGACACACTGGTGTCCACACCAGGTGTCAGGAAGATCTGCTGTCACCTACCCTTTTTTTCTTTCCCGGATTAGAAAGCCAATTACTTTCACAACCAAACACATATTGCATATTGACTAATACTTCAATCCTAATGGCACGACTGAATCATTTCTTATTCTACAACTTTAGTGCGAATTCTATTCTTATTTGTCATCAAGATATTGTCTAACTTTCTAACACAGATGAGATTTTGATCGTTTTGGAGGAATCAGTAAGAATGTGTTGAAAACTACAAACCTGTCGGAAATGTTCTGCATTGTATGCCATCATTTGCCATAAAAATTCATTTATACATTACAGCTACACAAATTCTAGCTTGTTGCAAATGTTAAATTTGTAAAGGACAATATTTATTTTAATTATTATTGAAGATATATTTAGTAATGGTGTATATTTCATTGCATATTTTCTTCTAAAAATGTAAAAAAAAAACTTTATAATAAAAAATATAATATTTCCAACAATCTTTCAAACTGATTTTTATTTTATTTTAATTAAAATATTTTAAAAAACATTCTTTTGTGGTGGGAAAATAAAAAATTAGAATTACTGCAGAAAAAAAAACTTTATTGTTGAGCCCTATCTTTGAATCCTTATGACATCATAGGTTACCCATAATTCTCTGTTTTCTACTACCATGCTGGTTTGGTGATGGCCTGGCTGGTTGAATAAGGAAGTCATGCTTGCTGTGCTATTTAAGAAGTCTGGTGAGGACTCCACTACAGCACCAAAACCACCAACCCAGGGGGAGTTATGGTGTTTGTAGTGAAATGCGAGTGGACATGATGGCTGGTTTGCTGTCTGCGTGCAACTCATGAATATTTAGTAAGGGCATGCTGGGATCTGTTGCATTATTCATCAGCAGGATGCCCATACTGAGAGCGGCCTGCTGTGACTCTTGGAGGAGCTTCCCGTATCTGACGCTTACAAAACCCCCAAACACAGTCACTATTTACCTACATCAGCTGTTTACATACATTTTTCCATGAAACACAGAATGAGCATTTATTCTTCATGCAGCTCTTTTCCACAATGAAAATGACAGTTAAACTCCAAAGAATCATAGAAATGGTCGATATGACGTGTGCTATATTCAAAGTCTTCTGAAGCCATATGATTACTCTGTGTGGGGAACAGACTGAAATTACAATAATTTACTGCAAATAGCTCTGAAATCAAATAGGGCACCATTAGATCACCAAGTCAATGATGTTTGGTCAAAAGTCATGAAAACAATGACATTTGACATGAAAATAATGACACTTGATGTGATTGGCATCCAGCTCAACAGGCACCATATCTGTTGTCAAATAGCTATTCTACAACCCAGGCTCGTTGAAAAACGTGTGCTTGAGGCAACATTTCTGCAACACTGATATTACGTACTTTATTGCACGTTTTACGGCAGTTTCTGTGGTCACGTTTTTATTACATTCGTACAGGCACATATTGCTGCATATTTATTACGCTGGTTCAGGTAAGTATTGTGGATTCAAATGTGCGGGAGTGTTGCTAAAATGCTCTATTATGTTGGAAAATAAGGTAACACTTTAGTATAGGGACCAATTCTCACTATTAACTAGATGATTGTTAGCATGCATATTACTAGTATATTGGCTATTTATTAGTACTTATAAAACACATATTCTGCATGACCATATTCTATATCCCTAATCCTACCCAATACCTAAACTTTAAAACTACCTTACAAGGCAGTAATTAGGAGTTTATTGAGACAAAAGTCATAGTTAATAGTTAATTAATAGCAAGAACTGGACCTTAAAATAAAGTCCAGTCCTAAAAATAACCTACTAAGTTAGAAAACCCATGAAGCTGTATATGTGATGCTTACGATCAAAAGTGTCAGTTTTCAAATCTCGCAGCATGTTAAAACTGTTTTGAAATAAGAACACAATATAGTGCAGGGAATTGTGCGAAAATTAGGCTTTCTTAAACGAAACTCTGGCCCTGTAAATCATACTTTGTGTGAAAAGGAATAAAAGTTGTTGGAGTTTTACTGCCTCTAGTGTTGATTTCAACTGGAATCTGCAGTGATTCATATGTATAGGTGCAACATAGTCCACTGATGAACCCAAGTGCAATTTAATGAAACAAACATGAACTAAACAAACATAAACATGACAAGGAGCATGGAGCATGCAAGACAAGACCAAAAACAATGTTACATATTCCCCCCTCTAAGGGCGGCACTTGACGCCCTAGTGAAACACCCACCCCAAAAACAATCAAAACTCCAGGAGGAAAAAAAAAAGTCCAGGAGGGTGGTGGAGCAAAGGGGGAACAGGGGGAGGGATGGAGGGCCAGGCCCATGAAGGGGAACAGAACCAGGATCGTGAAACAGTGGAGGGCCTGGGCCATGAAGCAGTGGCAAGCTTGAAGCATGGAGCAGTGGCAGGCCTGGGCCGTGGAACAGAGGGCAATGGCAGGCCTGGACTGTGGAGCAATGGCAGATTGTGGAACTATGGATGACCTAGGGAATGAGGCAGAGCCGGCGAAGCAGGGAGCCAGGGTGGAGCTTGCAGAACAGAAGACCCCCACAGTGGAGCGGAAGACCACCAGGGCAGAGCAGGAGGGACCGAGAAGAGATCAGGGTGGAGCAGGCGAGCAGAGCAGAACAGGTGACCTAGGTGAAGCGTCGGAGCAGAAAACCACCACAGGTCAGGAGGCCATGGCGGAGCAGAGACACTGACAGACCACTTGGCTGTGACAGAACAGGCAGAGAGTTCGTGAGCAGCCTCCCTAGCCGCAACATGACCGGCAGAATATACTTGAATGGCCTCAATGGCCATCAGGCAGAAAGTTTGTGAGAAGCATTACAGGCAGAAAATCCTTGAACAGCCTCAATGGCTGTAGCATGACAGGCAGAGAGTTAAGGGACAGCCTCCTTGGCCATGGCAGGACAAGCAGAGAATTCAGGGAAGGCCTCCTCGGACGTGACAGGGCAAACTGCGAGTTCAGAGTCGGCCTCTTTAGCCATGGCAGGACTGGCAGAGGGTTCACATGTGACCACTGTGGTCAAAACAGGACAGGCAGGAAACTCACAGGCTGGTGCCAACACAGGACTGAGCTCTAGGGCTTGAGTAGGCTCTGGAGTGGATTTGTGGACCTGAGCGGGCTCTGGAGCGGATTCCTGAACTTGAGCAGGCTCTGGAGCGGATTCATGGACAGGAGAGGCCTCTGGAGCGCAATGTTGAGCCCTAACACTCAAGATGGCAACCGCCAACACGGGCAGAGTGTGGAGAGGCTCTGGCAAAGTGGTGGTGACGCGAGGAGGCTGTGGCGTGGCGGCCGTGGCATGGCGAGGCACTGTCGTGGCAGCCATTTTGGCTGAAGACTCAGGCGTGGCGGCCATGACGTGAAGAGACTCTTGAGTGATGGCCATGTTGTGATGAGACTCTGGCTTGGCGGCCATGTTGTGAAGAAGCTCTTGAGTGGCAGCCATATTGTAAAGAGGCTCTTTCTTGGCAGGCATGAATTGAGCAGGCTCTGGCTTGGAAGGCATGATGTGAGCAGGCTCTGGCTTGGTAGGTGCTGTGGGACTTGTGGATGGTGATCCACTCAGCAGTAAGGCATAGTCTATATATTCGGCAAGGGACCAGTGGACTTTTCCCCCAGGAAGCTGGGAGCAAATGGGCTCATTAAGACCCACCCTCAAAATATCTTTTAACGCCACGTCATTAAAGTCCACCCGGTGAGAAAGTTCACAAAATTTCTCAACATAATCTTCAATGGCCCACTTGCCTTGTCGAAGGCGCAAGAGAAAAACTGCTGGGTTCATGTTAGGTCAAGCTTTTCTGTAACATATAGTCCACTGAAGGCCAGTTGAAGAACCCAAGTGCAGTTTAATGAAACAAACATGAACTAAACAAACATGGCATGGAGCATGGACAAGACTTACCAAAAACTTTACATTCCATTAACTTTGTTACATAAACAAAGCTTGACAAGAGACAATGGCAACATGAGGGTTATATATATACCAAACAATGAGTGTCCCATGATAACAAAACCAACCAATGACAAAACAGAACTAGAAACCACATGACTAGACTAAACCAATGAAAACATGACACATAAACAGGTAGCACAAGAGGATACAGGGAAGCACATGAAAACAAGTCTATGACAAATTTCAAAATAAGAGACATGAAAACAATGAACAAAAACCCCAAAACTCACGTTACCATAGGTATGTTTTTTGAGTTTTGCAGAAATGTAAGTAGAGGCCCGTATTTCCAATGAACCTGGGTAGCTATTGTATGGCTTCAGAATACTACTTATGTTTTTTATGGAGTTCTCTTTTTGGATCTTGACATATGTGGTCACTGAACTGTAACTGCATGAAAAAGGTAAGGATTTGACAGATAAGCATAAAGATTTGATAAGGATTTGAAGAGGAGGGTCATGGTTTGGACTGAGGGTGAGAAAATTACTTCATATTGTATGTGTCTACTGCCTACTGGTATTGCAATAGAAACACCCCAAACGGAAAAAACACAGTAGCTACAGTATAAAGAGATGCATTTCTCACCACAGTCTGGAAGCAGGAGTGCAGCTGGGTGAGGAAAGGTGGCTTCTCTCTCTGGGCCAGCACTCGCTTCTCCACCATAGTGCACTCCACATCATCATCCTGGATCACCACATCCTTCTTCAGGATTTTAATGGCATACAGCTCCTCAGTGGACTTCATCTCTGCCAACATCACCTATGTTGAAAGCAAACACACACTAGATGGAAACTCTTAGGCTATGTTCACACTGCAGGAAAATGTGGCCCAAATCTGATTTTTTTGCTCATATGCGACTAAGATCTTTTCGTTTCTGAATTGGGACACTTACATATGTGGTCCTAAATCTGATTCAGGTCAGATGTTTTGCAATGCAGTCTGAACGGTCATATCAAAATTCATGTGACTTTTACGTGACTCTAGATTGACATTCGTCATTATTCCACGCTGATATGAGATTTTACATACTGGTATTTCTTTGATCACTTGGTGAATATGACAGATATTTGCAAAGGTAGTCAGTGGAGAGACAAGAGGTGTTGTTTTATGGTGTATTACAGTATTACAGCTCGATACAAGATAAACTTGTACCGTAAATATTTAAAAACTTTGCTCTCTTTCTCCTCATCTTCATCCTCCTTATCGCCTGCTCATGAATTTGCTGGCTTTCGTGGCACATCAGCATATAACTGAATGCATCAGCGCTTACTTCAGTGGCCACCGTGTTTACTTCTGTATGACGGCACGCTTCATGATGTCTTGTTATCGTTCTTTTGTTCAGGTCTGTCATTTGATCAAACTGGAATCTGATATTGGCCACATTTAAAACTGACAATGTGAACAGCCACACAAAAAAAATCAGATCTGAGCAATAAATCGGAATTGAGCACTAATGCTTGCAGTGTGAACATAGCCTTAGAGATGGGTTAGTAAGTCATTTGGCATATGCCTTCTTAAGGTGCGGTCACATTTACTGTTGCTTGGCGTAATTTCACAGGTGAAATTTGAGTGATTCAAATAGAAATCAGTGCCATCTTGAGTTTCATGCTAGGGCGAAAAAATTCTCTTATTTATAAATTGGTCACTCGAATTAGTGACCATAGAAAGCTGCTTGGTTTGAAAGTGACTTGTGCAAGCTGTGCTTTATACATTGCTATGCTACTGACTAGACAACTGACCTTTTTTGACCATGAAATTTCACTAATGTGACTGTACACAGATAAGCCAAAACTGACAAGCTCCAATCAGCTGGATTTATGCAATTTTTGGGAGCCAGGGCTCAACACAACTGGTTGTTTTAATCACTCCACTGAGAGACAAAGTCGTTCTGAGGAAGAACTAGTAGCTGGATTTTAGTGAGGTTTATCTTTGAAAGACATTCAAGCATTTTTTGAGGGATGTCAGGAGCAATAAGTATGTGTGACTGACCTTCCCAAAACTGCCTTTGCCCAGAAGAGCCAGGAAATGGAAGTCACTGAGTTGAACTCTGTTCATGTTTCCGGATGGTAAACTGAAGCGTCGGTGATCAGTGGGAGTGATGACTTTCTTCCCAGGACCGAACTTGGCTTTCTACAAGAGTGATGGAGAGTGATCAATAACCAATACATGCCAAAATACACACGTGAGCTTCCACAACACTCGAATGCATGTCTGCTACTTAAATTTCTGTTGCGTGCTCAACTACACAACATGGCACTTCTTAGAAACGTGCTGTAACATGGTCAGGCCTGTGTGAAAATGACAGGACATGCAGAAAAATGTGTGCTGGGCTCGAGAGACATCCACAGCCGCTGGAGAGAGACTGAAAGACGCTGTGGAGATCTTCACTCCAAATCGCTGTCAGTGTGAACACCCCTGTAGAGTGCAGCGTGCTAAATAAACCTGACTCACGGTTGACATGAAGGGCATCTTCCAAATTCTGTCTATCTAATGAAGATCTGATGTCAAACGTCACAAGGTACTTGCATTGTGTCCTGCACGTATACAAACAGTACCTCAGAATGAATGTATACACTTTCTTATAGCCTTTTCATCTGGCAAAAGAAATGACAAGTCTCTTGTACAGACTGTCAGATGTTTGAGAAGGTCTGTTAACTGCCATCATGAAGTCCTGTATATCACTATTAACAGCATGGACCCTTTTACTGGAGTGATGTTGTTCTGTATGTGGCGTCCGTATCCAGTGGAGCTCAGTGAGACTATTCATGGTTCACCAGTCGACAGTGATATTGAGGGGCTATCACACTCCCTCAAACCCCGCAATCACACCTCCAACATCTTTCACACACTCTCGCTGTATACTGCACTCTCACTTGCTTTCTACTATAACAGTCTACTCTATCCTGTTATTTAGGTGTAAAAACCCACTGACATTTAGCATTTAGGGCACTAATGCATTCTCTATTTCTTCCCCCCTATCTGCTAACTATAGCTTTCCACTGTGGTCAGTTGTGATATATGAAACCACACTGACACTTTTTCTGTTATTATAGGTATTCTTATATTTTTTCAAAGTAAAATTTGAGTAACAATTTTTGACAGATATACCCATATTGATAATAATTATAAAGTAATAATAATAACAATGTTCTATCATTAAAAAAATGATTAACAAATATCAGCCCTGTTACCATGATTGACAAGTTGACATTTGCAAAAATAATATTTTTTCCTTCTAATATACACCCAAAGCCTACATAATCTATAAAAACATGCTGTCAATCCTGTTACAATTCTGAAGGTGTTTTAATATTTAATACATTTAATTTGAACATTTGATTGAACATTTAATTTTCTGGCACAATGAAATTGTCATGAACTGCACGGTGACACAAAGATAGACGATCCAAACGCAGTATATTTAATGAAGGGGTAATCCACAATCAAATTCCAGAAACAGGCAGAAGATCATATACACAGGTAATCAGTCCAGACAATAAAAACAGGGCATAATCCAAAAAACAGGCAGAGTAACAATACCAGGAACCAAGACATGGAAGAAACAGGAAACAAGGCTTAGAAACGCAGTTGATACTAGCAAGACTTAGCAATAAATGACAAAATGAACCAGGCTTATAAAGGGTGAGCAAACAGGGTTAACTAGACACAGGTGCAAACAATGAGTGCTGATGAATCCGGGCAAAGGATTATGGGAAATATAGTAAATCTATCAGTCTATCACTGAGTGACAGAGGTATGGGATGGAGTGCCCTCTGGTGGTTATCAAGGGCACTCCAGCTGGTGTTTGTGACAGAAACATATTAACACTACTAATACATTACATGTCATAGAATGTTTAAAATCCGAATGAAATTGACATTAAATATCAGATTTTTGGAATGGAAAAGACACCTATTTCACAGAAGGGCCCGCTAATGTCTGAGGTCAGAGGAACACCATGTCCTCTGACTGTAGAGATACCATAATGGAAAAATGCCAAAGAATTATCAACGTTTATAACGTTTATATGCTAATTTAATTTAAGGGCATCCTGTCACTGTTAATGATTTTCCAGAATTATTAAAGTGGTGCACACAAATTTCTTTATAGTGGTAGAACGTTCTTCTAATTATTAAAATGCTCTTCAAATGGTTCTTTGAAGAACTGTTCACTGAAATGTTCTTTGGGGAACACCACATTGCATTGCTCCAAAAACCCTTTTGGAGCCTTTATTTTTAAAATGGAGTGAGACATAATGGTCACACTTTAGTTTGGGGACCAAATCTCACTACTAACTATTAACTACGACTTTTGCCTCAAACTCCTATTAGTTAGTGAAGTAGTTAAGTTTAGGTTTGGGGTAGGATTAAGTAACGTAAAATATGGTCATGCAGAATATGTGCTTTATAAGTACTAATAAACAGCCAATATGCTAGTAAAATGCATGCTAACAAGCAACTAGTTAATAGTGAGAATTGGTCCTTAAAATAAAGTGTTATAGACGTAATATATTTCTTGTGAACATACATGCCGCTCTGTAAAACTACAGCATCACATGATTTGCATTTGCAGCTAAAAAAGTTAAGGTTAGGGTTAATCTTACGGGTAGGACTCTAAATAAACACAGTGTATAAACATCCTGGGTTAAGATTTATCAAATAAGAAGAGTTACCATTCGGTCACCCACACAACATTGTTTTCATGTTTTCGGTGTCTCTATGTTACCATTATATTAATCTAATAAGATATGATACTATTTACATTGGGGTACAAATTAAGATGCACATTTTAAATAATATGTGAAATAATGTAATTACAGATGTAATTACATGTTATATTAATTGTAATTACAGTCTAATAACATGTATGTACACAATATATACATTGTAATACATTTTAAGCTAAGTATACAAAAGGTAAACACACCTAATAATACTTTGTAAAATATATGTGCATATAATACACTTCTTGACTATATATAACAAATATTGTCTAGACAATGACCCAGTAATACATTATTATGCATCTGTTCCACATGCACACATTTAAGGGTTGAAATTTGTCATTTCATTAACATGTTGCTCTTTGAGAAATAGTAAACATTCGGACACATCTAGAAGAGTTATCATGTGCTGCCCCCTATTGGAGATCTCAAGTAAGTGCCAACCCAAACACTAGTGCACTTCAGACTGTCAACAGTGCAGTGAAACAACAAGTGTTCATACGCTTTTTCAGTGAGTGACTAGAACAGAATTTTTCTGTGGTGGCAGACAAAAAGATGTGATCTATTTGTTATTCGTTCAGGATGCACATGAAGCATGCTGAGGGTCAGAGTGTGAGGAAACCTTCTATGATCTATAGAAGGCCGAAGCAGATCACAAACAGCCAAAAGATCATTGCCTGTCCTTTAGCTTCTGTGTTCTGCCTATTTACTAACAACTGCAGTGCTTATGGCTTTATAACTGTAATAAACATGTGCTTGTGTGTCTGTGTGTGGAGGAAGCCCATGATTATTTGACAGATTTCATAGATTTAACTACTATTTGATTGGCTTATTATGTTTAATGTAATAGAAAATAACTTGTAAAATACAATATAAATTTTTCATTGGAATATCATCCAATTTGTGTTTCTCATTCAACACTGTTACCATATAATGGGCATATACTAGGTTACATTATCGCTTAAAAATCATGTATTGACAAAAATATTTTGCTGATCATTACTATTCAAAGTTTTGAAATAGTAATAATAATAATAATAAAAAAATCTTATTTCATGCTCAGATGGCACTATTTCTGTCACTTCTGAGGTCAGATGTCAGTGGATGTTCATTTGAACAATAAAGAAAGAAAGCAAGAAAGTGTGTGTGGATAGTGTAAGTTAAAGGGAATAGAAACCTGAAAGAAGTTGGATTGCATCTTTGTTAGTAAATCTGATTTCTTTGTAGCAGCCTGAGCCACACAAATAATCAGAGCCAGTGAATTATAATACTCTATGATGAACAGATAGAGACGGACAAGAGGCGAGCAGGGCAGAGAGAGGAGGCTACCTTCAGCAGGTGGATATTGAACTGATAGGCCTATAAGAGGGGAAAAACTAGGATGTTAGTCTGCTATCTGCATACAGGGACACACACGGAGTGTGAAGACTCAGCAGGTCTTTTCTTTTCTCTTCAGACTTCAGCTGTAGATGCAGAAAGGCAGGAAACAAACATCACAGAACAAGGAGAGAAGATCAGTCAAACCAACACAGTCACGGACAAATTACTCCGTGTCAGACAACTGACACAAGCATTAAGAAAACAGCAGAAGATGGAATACGGAAAGCATTTTTAACAGATTATTCAGTAATATTTGATATGATTTCTGCTCATTGTTGCTAGAGCAGTATTTGAAACAAAAAGCCAGTTTTACACATTCTATTGCCATTTCCGATTATCATATAGTTTTATAGTATCTAGTGCCTACTGGTGCAATATTTTTGTCAAAACAGATTTTGAAAATACCTGAATTGTGCTACATTAGATAACTAAATATAACTAACTAAATATATTAAGAAACAATTCTAGGGTTTTTGTGAGAACTGAGTTCATTTTTCTGGGATATTTTTATTTAAGTCTCGTCAAGTTCATGCAGAGTAACCACAAGTGTAGTTCACAATATTAAAGGGTTAGTTCACCTAAAAATGAAAATTCTGTCATTAATTACTCACCCTCGTGTTGTTCGAAACTCGTAAGACCTTCGTTCATCTTCGGAACACAATTTAAGATATTTTTGATGAAATCTGAGGGCTCTCTGACCCTCCCATAGACAGCAAGGTAATCTGGGTCAGCGCCGCCACACGCTCGCATCATGGTACGTCATGCGTCGTGAACGCGCGTCCAAAGTGACACAGTAGAGGTGAAAATGTGGAATAAAGTCGTTATTTTTGTTTTCTTTGCGGAAAAAAGTATTCTTGTAGCTTCGTAGCTTTACAGTTGAACCACTGATGTCACACGGACTACTTTGTGGATCATCTTGGTACTTTTCTGGACCTTGAACGTGGTAGTTACCTTGCTGTCTATGGGAGGGTCAGAGAGCCCTCATATTTCATCTAAAAAAAATCTTAAATTGTGTTCCGAAGATGAACAAAGGTCTTACGGGTTTCGAACAACACGAGGGTGAGTAATTAATGACAGAATTTTCATTTTTGGGTGAACTAACCCTTTAACTATCAACATGATCCACTGACAACCACATTATGTCAAAATTTGCATTGTGATTATATTTACAGTAGACTTTGAGAGACATTTTTTAACAGATTGAAGTATCTGAATACTTTTCGGGGGCGCTGTATTTGAGAATCGTGATTCATGAATACTATCAAAACCATGATGACTTCATATGCCAGGTTTCCTTGATATCCCATTGAGAAAGAGAGAGGTGAAAGCACTGAAAGACTGTTTGAGGTGAAAAAACAAAACAGTTTGAGGAGTTTCCAGAAAGACAGACACAAAAGCAAACAGTTACAGCAGTATAAAGCCAAACAGTTGTTGCATAATAAGCAAACACTTGACAAAGGGACCTCGGCGCCCGTCGTGTCCCTGGCATCCCTCAGCATCCCACCAACCACGAGATCTCACCATGGAAACGGTTGCTATGGTGACCCTGACAGTGGCTTTTTGGTCTTTGAGAGTCACGATCTAGTCTAAACCGTATTCGTGCGTCCTGTGATTCAGCACTGCTGGGCCGCTGCTGTTATCTGGCTTTAGCGGCCACTCGTAGAACATTCACTACACATTAAAACACGATTTAATCACTTGACTTGAGAATGAACAGCCGTGCAGGACTCTTCAACGCTCCTCTGGCATGACAATGAGTCATGGATGAGTGTGTTTGAAGAGCTGCGGAGATAAACACACACACTCACCTCAAACTTCTGCCGCAGCTCCAGGTTAATGTCATTCTCCTCTGGGATGGGCACGTTGTAGTACTCACCCTCCTCCTGGTTTAACATCTTATACCTGTCAAATGAGAGAATATCAGACACAATTAAAAACTTCAAATAGTATTATCATGGTACAGTCTAAAACGTATGGTACAGGTATAGTAGCATATTACCATGGCCCTCTTTGTTTTCAAAAAGTACATGCCTGCATTTACAGCATGGCTGTAAAAAACAGCTCTGCAAGGCACAAACCAGTGCAAAGTGCATTAAAATGCTTGACTGCAGCCCCTGAATGAATGACTGTCATTGTGCACTGTCATCTGTTGTTTTATGGCTTTAGAAACAGAGATTCGTTAATATGACATTATAAAGCTGAGGTCTCTGTCTCTCTATGGCTATGTTGTGTGTGAATCTGCTACTGTCTCTGGGTTCCTGTGAACTTTCTTTTGATGTGAAGGGTCTCTCAGAGGACCCCTCATTAAATCAGCACATACACTGCTGAAACTAGACACTGAGTGTATTGACTTTTTTAATGATCGGCATCAGTGCTATTAAGGTGATATTTGGAGCAAATCAGATCAGGACTTAATTTTTCCAATTCAAACAGTATAGAAACTCTTCTATGCCAGATTTCACAGTACTAAGCAGTTACAAATCTAGTGTACTATTACTGTTTAATGTTTTGACACATATATTACACTATAACAATTTATTATGGCTATAAAATTTGATCGTATGGTCTTAAAAGTTATTGTAAAATAGTCTGCCTACTGTGTATTAATGCACAAATCATTAGTTACATTGTCTGGAGTTCATAAATGACCCAAAGTTAACCTAATGAATTGTGGTCGTGCTCATAAGTTTACACACACCTTGAAAAAAGTTAATAATTAAAAAAATAAAAATAGGGATTACAAAAATGCCATTTTATTTTGGTACTGCGCTGGAATAAGCTATTTCACATAATTGTCACGAATCCGGTCCATGGACTTTCATCCAATGAACACGAGAGGTCGCTCTCTCACCATATTGACACTCACTCCACATAGACTGTCACACATCACTCTGGACTACATCTCCCATGCTCCATTGCACTGATTGCCCACTCACCTGCATCCAATAACTCACACTATATAACACTCACCTGCATCCTGCTCTAGTCGCCGAGTATTGTATGCGTTTATCTCTCTCCAAGCGATAGCTACTCTACGGAGCCTGTCTAGTTTTCAGTTCCTAGTCATAATCTTGTCTTGCTGGTTTACTCGTGTTTTGATTCTTGCCTGTATTGACCATGTCACTGAATAAAGCCTTGCAAGTGGATCCGCTCCCGTCACCCCGTTACAGAGACGTGAGGCGAGCGGATCCACTTGCATCCACTTGTTTGTCCCCAGCAGTTAAACTGAACAGTGTTTACAGTAAAATCCTCCAGGTCCTACACATTCTTTGGTTTTACAACTTATTCTGCATCTTTGAACCTTTTCCAACAGTGACTGTATGAGAAAATTGCAAACATTCATTGATGCTGAAGAAGGCAACATGATGCATTAAGAGGAGGGTGTATTTTTGAGTTTTGTTTAAAGATCTTGGTAACAATATAGATTAGGGAACACCTTTTCACTATTAACTAATATTAAGAGTTTTCCATCAATAAACTCCTAGTTACTGCTTATAGATAGTATATATTAAAAAATAAATTTTTATGATCCCTCTTATTTTCTTTAAATAATTAACATTATGCAAATTCTTCAAGGTGTATGTAAACTTATGACCACACCTGCATATGGGAGTTATGTTTAATATTTTATTATAATATATATTATTAATATTTGTAACTATTTATTGAACATTGGTGTCTTTTACCATATTAAAATGACTATAAAGCATGTCCTCTTATGGTTTATTGCTTGAATAGGAGCTGTAGTGTGAAATTGCCAATATAACTCAAAATACAGAAATAGCATGATAGATTTATACTGTAATATCAGCCACTGACTGTTTTACAGCCACAACATTTATTATACAACCTTATTTAAACTATTTTACAGTGTAAAGTATGTAAGAATAACGGTAGATTGTTGTGTTTGTGCTGTCAGCGTATTTGACTCACCAGCCGCATACAGTAGCTTTGATCAGCTCAGACACACCAAAGGACATGGAGCCCATGAAGTCATTACGGGTGGTTCTGTCCCAATCCCACACCTCCACGGACAGACGGCGCTCCTTATCCGATGGCTTTAACTTACTGCACACAGACACGCATTAGAGAAAACAAATCTACAATGCCGTCAGAGTGTGTGTTTAATGCTGACGGACTCACAAGATGAAGGACTCGTTCCAGGTGGGGTTGAGCGAGGAGCGGATGGTCCGGGTCTTCTGTTTGGTCTCATTCTTGGGGTCTGGGATGAGTTTGAGCTTAACATACGGGTCTGACAGACCATTGGGGTCCATGGGAATCAGATTTCTGGCCTCACCCACTGATTAATAAGAAAGAAATCAAAACGTGAACTAAAGCATGAAAAACATAACAAGCGACAACATCAAGTTTGAATTGGTAGATCTTTTTCAGTGCAAATGTGCTGACTATTTTAATAATATCACTATTAGTTATTACTGAAATTATACACCACTGTTATTTTTTAATGTGTAAACAGGTTTTGAGGAACATGCGGACACAGGAACAGGAAGTGCCACCATCTCATCTATATTCCTCATATTTTAAGTAAGTAAGTTTTCATAAGTACATTAGCAAGTTTACTGCTAAATGATTCTCTGACAGCAACTGTAGATTATATTGATGGTTGCTTGTTATCTTTCCTGTGCTACAAGAGATGATGTAGGAGGTCTGGGGGATTATGGGCGGAACACTGGAATAGGAAGTGTGATTGTATGGGTGAATAAAGCGAGACCTCAGTTCTACAAAAAGTGTCAGTTAATCTGTCTATACGCATCTACATGGTGTCAGAAGTATGCCTGTAGTGACGATGGCACAAGGACTTCGTAAGATTGACCCCCTCGTCTTTCACGAGAATATTGCAGACAACTGGATGAAGTTTAAGCGCGAGTGGCGCATTTACAGCAACGCCGGTCTTTCAGCAGCAACAAAAAAAGTGCAAGCATACACATTTCTGAACCTCGCTGGTCCCGATGCCCAAGATAAATATGACACTTTCACTTTCGAGGAGGGGGAAGATCCGGAGGATTCTGAGGTACTGGTAAAGAAGTTTGAGGAAATATGCCTGCCTGTAAAGAATGTAATTATGGACAGACATGTATTTAATACAAGAACCAGAAGCCACATGAAACAATCCAGTCATACGTTGCAACGTTAAAAACACTAGCCAGAAATTGCGAATTTGGCACGCTGCACGACGAACTGATAAGAGATCGATTAGTATGTGGCATTCACAATGACAATATCCGCACACAGCTGCTGAAAGAAAAAAATCTAACTTTAAACTCAGCTATCGAAATATGCATGCTACATGAGCAGTCTGAAAAAGGAAAAAAAGAAATAAAAAAGAAGCAGGAACCAAAGAAGGAAAGCGAAGTTTGTGCCGTGCAATATTATACATGTTCAAACTGTGGTGGCCAGCATTCATCTGACCGCAGCAGCTGTCCAGCCTTCAACAAGCGCTGCAACGCGTGTGGAAAAAGGAACCACTTCTCTAAATGGTGCAGATCAAGCCAAACACGCACCTACAACAGACCAGGACAAGGTCCATCTCAGCCCAGCAGAGCACCCCACACCATACGCAGGGGAGGACAGACGCATAGAATCATAGAATAAGTTAACTTGATGCGCAGATTGCATATGAACCAACGGACCTATTTTACTGTGAAAGTGTAGAGGTGCCAGCTGATAGAGGAGAGATATTTACCGTCCTGTCCATTTCCAACACAGGGAAGCAACTTAAGGTGAAGATTGACACTGGAGCTCGGTGCAATGTACTGTCCAGAGGCGTTCTCCAGCACATCGACCCAGGCCGCTCATGTCGACCACAGCCATGTAGTCAACCTTGAGGCTTATGGTGGTCAGATCATAAGGACTTTATGTGTTACTAATGTAAACTTCACATGCGGCACACTACAGTTCCAGGTTGTTGACAGTGATGCAAAACCTCTATTGGGCCTCAGAGACAGTGTCAAACTAGGCTTTGTGCAACTTGGCCCGAATGTGCACGCTCTCCAGCAGGGGGCCCCTGAGCTCACAGAATATAAAGATCTTTTTAAATGCAGCACTATTGGCAAACTGCCTGTAGTGTATCACATGCGCCCGGACACCTCTGTGCACCCTACAATATGTGCTCCCAGACGAGTGCCATTGGCAATAAAAGACAAAATAATCAAAGAACTCAACAGAATGACTAAACTGGGAGTCATTAAGCCAGTTCAGGAGCCCACTGAGTGGGTGTCTTCTATGGTGGCTGCATGTAAAAAAGATGGTGTCCACCTCAACAAAGCCCTCCTCAGACCACATCATCCCATGAAAACAGTAAAACAGGTGATCGCTGACATGCCAGAAGCCAAGGTGTTCAGCATCCTTGATGCGAAGTGTGGATTCTGGCAGGTGCCACTCAGTGAGGAGTCATCGAAGCTGACCACCTTCATGACCCCGGCGGGCAAAATGCCTTCCTCCGAATGCCCTATGGAATTTCCATGGGAAGCGAAGTCTTCCAAAGGTGTATGGAGCAGCTCTTTGAAGGACAGTCATGAGCAATTGTTGTTGACGACATCCTTGTTTGGGGCAGCACAAGAGAAGAGCATGATCTGCACCTCCGGCAGGTCATGGACAGAATACGGGCCATAAATCTTAACCTCAACCCTGACAAGTGCCGTTTCCGGGTGTCTGAGGTGTCATATGTGGGTCACCTTCTAACTGACCAGGGCATAAAGCCTGACCCTACGAAGACAGATGCAGTCTGTTCTATGCCAACCCCAGCAGACAAGCATGGTGTTCAAAGGTTCTTGGGCATGACAAACTATTTATCAAAATTCATCCCCCTGGATGCGAAAATCACATATAGCGAAATTACAGCACCCCTGCGTCAACTCCTGCTTCAGGATGCGGAATGGAGCTGGCAGGAGCACATGGTAGTGTTCACCAGACTTAAAGAACTCCTCACAAGTCCTCCTGTACTCCAGTACTTTGACGTGCACCAACCAGTGGTGTTATCTGCAGATGCCTCTCAGCACGGCCTGGGTGCTGTCTGTCTCCAGAACAACAAACCAGTGGTGTTTGCCTCAAGAGCACTTACAGAGACTGAGTCACGCTACGCTCAGATAGAAAAGGAGCTGCTGGTCCTTGCCTATGCTTGTCAGAAATTCCACGACTATATATATGGCCGTCCAGTGACCGTCGAAACGGATCATCAGCCCCTCATCACTATTCTAAAAAACCACTACACTCAGCCTCTGCACGTCTTCAGAGGATGATGCTTAAGCTGCAGCGCTATAACCTCAATGTCGTCTACAAGAGAGGCAAAGAGCTATACCTAGCAGACGCGCTCTCACGTGCACACCTGCCCTCCACTGACTGGGCCGAAACTACTGAGGACTATGATGTCATGACAGTGGAAGCCCTCTACTTAAGGAGAATTAAGGAACTGAGACAGGAGACACAGGCAGACTATCTATGCAGGTGCTTATCTGAGGTCGTTGCCGTGGGCTGGCCTGACTCATCAAAGAAGCTGCCACATGACCTCAGGCAATTCTATGCCATAAGGGATGAACTCACAGTTGATAATGGCCTACTGCTCTGTGGTCAGCGTTTCATCATTCCCCACTCACTGCAACACTATTATATCAGACAGCTGCATCAAGGGCACCCGGGCCTAGAAGCAACAAAGCGCAGGGCCAGAGAAACCATGTTTTGGCCCAGCATATACCAGGACATTGAACATGAAATCTCCAGGTGCGCTCCTTGTAATGCCCTCAGACCACACCAAACAAAGGAGCCCCTTCAATTGCATGATATACCAGACTTGCCATGGGCCCTTACAGGAGCAGAGTACGAGTCGACTCGTACTGATTTGCAATAGACCAGCTCCCAAACATGACCAGTGCGACCGTTATAACCAGGCTAAAGCGCCACTTTGCCACCCATGGAGCTCCTCAGCAGCTAATGACTGACAACGCAGCATATTTCACAAGCAGGGAGTTCCAAGAATTTGCCTGCACATGGGGCTTCTGCCATGTCATCAGCAGCCCACACTACCCTCAATCAAATTGGCTAGCTGAGATGGCTGTACGCTCAGCCAAACACCTGCTAGAAAAATGCCCACGTGATGGAACGGATGTATATGCGGCGCTGCTCAATCTACGCAACATACCAAGGGATGGGCTGCCTTCACCAGCCCGGCACCTGCTTTCTCGGCGCACCAAGACCCTTATTCCCATGGCCAAAGCCATGTATGTGCCAACGGTAGAAACGCAGGTTCAGGCAGCTCTAACACGGACCAGACAAAGAGGAAAGACACATTATGACAGGTCAGCCAGACCCTTGGCCTCATTGCAAGCAGGGCAGACAGTGAGAATACAGACAGACAGGGGATATGACAGATTGGGAATGGTAATAGGAAGAGCACCACAGCCAAACAGCTACCAGGTCCAGGCCGGAGATGCCACATATGTCAGAAACAGGCGCCACCTCCTACATACACATGAACAGTACACCCCGCCTCCAACAACAGAGGTCCCACTTAACACCAACAGTGAACCTCTGCCAGAACCCCAGCCTAATGTCGACCAGCCGCAGACAGAACAGGTGCAGGAACCACCTGTGGTTGTCACCCGTTCAGGGAGAATATCAAAGAGAATATCAAAACTCCCTATACAAATACTACACTACATAAACTCAGACTGTTCATACCACTCCTACTGCAGCACTCCTGTTCCTTGTGGCTGTTTAAATAAATAAATAAATAAATAAAGTCGGACCAATGTTGCATCCTGGTTTTGGTATGCGTGTCAGGTTGTACACAGTGCTAGTTTCACTGTTCATGTGCACTTTTATAACAGGTAAGGCTAAAGGGCTAACTATATATATACTAGTATAAATATAGAGCTGTTAAAATCTTTTTTGGGTGAATAAAGCGAGACCTCAGTTCTACAAAAAGTGTCAGTTTATCTGTCTATATGCATCTACAGCAACAAAGAAGTTGAAGTGGCATTTGACCCTGTCAAAAATAAATAAATAAATTTACCAGCCTCCTGGCTGCAACGGGCAGGCTGCATTTCTATTATTGACCAAAAGGGGGAGACGTGTCTCTTTCAGTCTTTCTCACAGAAACATTAGGAAGCAACTTAAACAGAGCTAACTTTTTTCAAATCTGAATGTGTGGCAAACATTGCTCAAATCTCTTAAGAAGCTCTAATGCACAGAAAACTCATTCCAAAGGTCTGACAGAGTTAGTGATAGTGGCCGTTAATTTGACTCTCCACATCGCCTACACTTAGTTGCTGACAGAGAGACGTC